ATCACATTTCTGCTTTTAAATACCTCTATCTTTTGCTCTTTTTGCTACTTCCACTAGAGTGCGTTCATACTTGCGTCAGCGTTCTGAGCGTTTCGAGCGTATGCGCGCCAGCGATTAGGAAAGTATAGATATCGATTCAGCGGTTGCGCACGCTTCATCTTCACGACGCCTAGTCCAGTAGTCTCTTACCCTCCTACTTCCCCATACTCTCCCGCCCTGGTGGACGCCGGCATTCGCTGGTGGACGCTCGAAATGCTACTTTCTCATTCGCTCAAAAAGCGGCTGTACGCTGGCATAGGCGTACGCTAGATCGATCTTATACTCCTATAGTCGTTGGCGCTGACGTGCTCTTGAAATGCTCAGACGCTGGCGTACGCTGACGCAGAGTGTGAACGCAGCCTTAGTCTGAATGAGTAAACGGTAGAACAGCGGTCTTACCGATCCCTTGTTTGAGATCGGTAGAAAACTTTTCCTATTAACCACCCTCCTGTGTAAATTTAGCAGCGATTTTTTTGCATTTATTTTCATATTCTATAATGTCAGTTTATCTTCGGGCTCTGAAAAGAAATTTATTTTTCAGCTCTGTTTTGGAAAAGTGCTCAACGTCTACACTGGCAATGAGCGACGATCATCTGCGACGATGTGTGCTGGAAGAACTTCGTAAAGCTCAAGGGGAGCCACTAACACCGGAGGAGTTATTTGAGCGTTGCGGTGGAACAAAAGCAACGAATCTCAGCATAGACGCATTCATGTTCGTTTTTTTTCGCGCTAACAACCTTAGTGGGATGGGGGCATTCAAAGGGCCCGTGTGAAAAACCAGGTTCCCACAACGAAGGTGATGACTTTGTCTAAGTCTCATGAATACTACCTCCGAACTGGTAAATGTTTTCAACGCTGTTTTTGCATGAGTGGCGTTGATCTCAATTTTCACAAGGAGTCCTTCAATGCCCCTGAGCCCTCACGTTTTTGCTCCTGTTTTTCTTTGCTGACAGAGTGTATACGATATATTCGAAATGATTCTTTGACCATGTACTACGTAGCCGCGCAGTACAGAATCCAAGAACTTGCTCACTTAAAATAGGGAGGATGAATTTCCAATTGCGGCCAGTTCCTCTGCGATGCCACAACTGCTCTCGATATCGGTAGGAGTAGGCAAGGCTCTAAGTACTGGTCTTGTAAGAGGTTGAGAGGTCTTATAAGTTTATTGCCTCCTAAGAGGAACTGTCTGAAACAACTCACTATTAGCTCGTATGACCCCAGCTGCAGCCCCGGGTTCCTTCATCTGCAATGTCGCTGCTTTGGATGAGGTTTGCGCATCTTGAAGTGAGCGCTGTGCATCTTTTGTTGTGGAATTTCGCGTAAGATCAGGAAATGAAAACTAAAAAGTTTGGAGACTAATAACCTTGAATTGCGCGATTTGGCAGAATGGCTCGTGAAATTCAGTAGGTTTTTCTTTTCAATAATACTCGATATATTAAGGGCTTTCGTTGGACAGCACTGCTCACGAGCTGTAAAGGCGATTCACGATGCAGGTGACGAAAACAGTCTCCCCAGGTAGGGTAACTTTTTCAGCTGATTGTAGTTATATATTCGCCGTTATGTGCTTCGGTAGGGGTTAACTTACAATTTCGCATCAGTCCTTTGGTAGCCTGCAATTTTCGAAAGGAGAGTTTCGAGAGGTGAACCTCATGAATAGGAAAACAGAATGTGCACCCGTGCAACCTCCACACCGTCCCCACTCATCAGAGTCGCAGGCAATCATACAGGGCTGATGGCATATCCCAGAATGTCCGTTGGCTCTTTGAAATGGCGCGCGCAAAGCCATCACATATTTTTCATCTTCCCTATTGGAGCCCTGATTTTTTTTACGTCTTTTGATTATGCAACCTCGACTGAAGAATATATGTTTTGGACATCCGGGTGTCTCCTGGACAATTAATAGATTTCTTCACGCTGCAGAAATAATGCACAACAACTGTCTTAGGATTCACCGAGCCGTGAAGTCCTTTTCGATACGTTCTATTCAAGACTGCTTTTCCGAAAATTATCTGCTGGTAGAAATCCTACTATATATAATCCCTAAGTTTGTCTGTTGGTGTGTGGGTGTCTGTAATGCCTGTCTTGTCTTCCTGTCTGTCTGTCTGCTGCCTCGTCTGTCTGTCTGTCTGTCTTTCAGTATGTGGATTTAACGACACGGGATTGACTAACTTCCTTCAAAACAGCGAATTGAGCGCTCAAATTGATAAGTGACTGGGGGTCGGGCCTACGAACAACTGTGGCAGTAACAGGAAGTGATAACAGCCCGATACGATTATTTATTTATTTTTAGACGCATGATGAAACTGCGCTACATAATTGTACAATCACAATCGGCAAGTACATCAACTGGAGTAAGACAAATCCCATAAATGTGAGAACTTAGGAGACCTCTGAATTAACCTAGCGCTGGTGGCGCCTATACCAAAGCTCCAGGAGATACCATAAAGAGCCTTAGAAAGGTTTCACTAACTTCATGACGCGCGTCCCAGCGACGTAGACGTTGTTTTCAAGAAGTAATATATGGAGCAGGATGGGTGATAACAGCCGATAAAGTACCGTAGGGGGGTCCACTTCAGGAAGGCCCTCAAAATTCAATGCAAGAGTCGGAGCAACAACGGGAGCTGCACCTTTACTCTGCCTGCGACTGCACTTGACTGCGTAACCAAAGAATCGATAGGCTAACCTTAGTGAGCCGAGATGTTTCTATCCCTTAGCGATGTAGTCGAATTGATCCGAACCACTAATCTCTCGAGTACCACACCAAAAGTAAATGCCTAAAGATGTTTGTCACTGAGGAATGATATAGAGGCGCTGGAACAGGCGCGATATTTGAAACGCTGCTGAACTGAAAGTACTAGCTTAAGATCATTTCACCTCTGATTCGATAATTGTTAACCATTGAAACCTCTTTCATGTCCGATAAGTCTGGTCTCCATTTTCAATCGAGTGCGTGACTGTTGGGTAAGCACTCATATTTAGGCAATATTACATAAAAGAGAAGAATGATCAATGAATAGACCGTCGTTTCGAAGACGGAAATGGAACGAAGTGTTTAGGGGTCACCCCAAGAAATTCTCGCCAGTGATCAGTACACTATAAGTTAGGCCATTCGCGCCATTTAGTGCGGCAGGTCAGCCAAAACTGAAGATTATTAATAAATGAGAGAGTGTGAGCTGTTCTTGTGATGGCTTATTTTCTAGCTTCACCCTTATTAGCTTTGCTTCATTTCTCAAAACTCTTACTTCATTCATTAGCTCTGAGAGTGACAAATGTGCCTTTATCTGCAGCGCTTTCCTAGCTTTTTAAGAATCGCAGAAGAACAAGTTTTAGATATGCTCTTCATGTTGACTCCTCAAGGAAAACTGGTACACTGAAGAGGAGAGCGGCTAGGTCACAGAGTCAGTCAAGCTCTCGCGGTGGTACGCCAGATGCCGTGAATTTTCGTTTCAACCCTCGAACGGTGAGTGAAAATGCAAAATATCCTGCCATGGAAATGAAGTAAGGCTTCACTTGAATTTTTTTCCAAAAGCTTTTTGTTGAATCTTGAACTGCTTCGTACTGGAGTTCCGCCATTGAACTGATGAATACCTTTTTCAGGAAGGGTTTTCAATCTTCTGCCACCTTGTACGGAGGTTATCATCGAGTTCTCAGGATGGTACCATTAACTGGAATGTAATCAGAAATCAGTACAGGTATGCGTTTAGTATCCAATGTTATCTTCTTCAATGGGATGGCATATACAGAGCAGCTAAAACGCTCAGGATACCTGGTCGATTAGAGTGGGAATGAGCGGGATTATCACTCTTTGATTCTACCCTTGCACGGCCATGCAAGGAACATACAACGCAGAATTAGGGGCCGAGCAATGCAGGGTTGAGGACCGAGAGTTCCGCCCATTTTTCCTTTGCGACTAGGTATCTCAAGGAGGAGGGGCATGTTTACCACGCACACAGCTCCGTTTTTCAAATCTGGCTCTCGCCCAGGCCAACAAAGTTTTCTACCTCTCGGTTGTGGTATTGGTACCAGATTCGTCTGGGAGGATAAGAACACTGATTTGTACATCGGCCCGGCCCCGCAAGTCATTGTATAGGCCACATCGCATTCAATAAGCCACTACGACTTCTGAATGGAAGTGGATTGCATGCATTCCCAAAAAGGGCCGACCAACTGTGAAAACATCATCCCATTTCCCGAGCATTCAAGCTGCTCCTTTCATACATTTTTTTCGCTTCTCATAACGAAGGTTCCGGTGTCACCAAACATTACGGATTTAGGAAGGAAACAGGACGACATCTCAATGCTGAGGAGTTGAACTCAATGTGCGGAACTTTGAACATGACAAAGTGCGTTTGTCTTCTGATCACTTACTAAGACAAAGAAGTGTCACTGAAATTATTTATGACTGACTGAAAAATTTTTAGACACGACCTCCTAACCACCTACCTGTCAAGTGTCGTGGAAGTATTAGACAGCCGTGGGCAGATTTTGAGACCAGCGTCCCCATTCAATCCGAAAACTCCGAGTCCAACGTCTTCTAATTCACGTTCATCTCAAGGTAAGGTGGAATCTTTTGGTCGAGTTTATCTTCAGAATGATAACATTAATATCACTGCTTGAAGATGAGCAACATTCACCTCTTTCTGGAGCTACAATCGACATGAATAACACGGATTCGAGTCAGGTGAGGAGAACTTATAGGAGTGTGGTAAAAGTAGTCTGGTTACATGCACGAAAACGAAATGGGATACACCTAAAGGCGGTGAGCACGATTGCTGAAGGCGGGCGGTTGTTGCTTTGGTCACAGTCAGCCCTGCCA